GACATAGTGAGCTCCAGGCCAGCTGGGGCTACAGGGAAACCTTGTTTTGAAAAGACCAAAAAAAAAAAAAAATCACTAAAAATGAACCTACCATTTGACCCAGGTATACCACTCCTTGGCATATACCCAAAGAACTCATGCTATTGCAGAGACACTTGTACATCCATGTTTGTTGCTGCTCTTTTCACAATAGCTAAGAGATGGAAGCAACCTAAGTGTCCCTCAACTGACAAGTGGTTAACAAAAATGTGGTATATTTACATAATGGAATTCTATTCAGCAGTAAGAAAGATGAAATCATGAAATGTGCAGGTAAATGGATGGAACTAGAAGCTGTTATACTAAGTGAAGTAACACAGACTCAGAAAAACAAACAATGTATGTTCTCCCTCATATGTGGATCCTAGCACCAAATCCTGGTAAGTGAGTATGTATCCAGACATAACCACAGAAACCAGGATAATGAAAAGGAACGAGGGAGGTAAAGGAAAAGAAAGAAACTGAAATAGAAGAACAGTGGGAAACAGGTGTTAATAAGAGAGATATAGATAAAAATGGGGTTATTGAGCTGGGCGGGGTGGCGCACGCCTTTAATCCCAGCACTGGGGAGGCAGAGGCAGGCGGATCTCTGTGAGTTCAAGGCCAGCCTGGTCTACATGGTGAGTTCCAGGACAGCTAGGGCTACAGGAAGACCCTGTATCAAAGACACCCCCGAAAAAGTTATATTTGAAGAAAAAGATATTTAAATTTGTTTACAAATCAGGGTGTGTGTGTGTGTGTGTGTGTGTGTGTGTGTGTGTGTGTGCTGGTGAGATGGCTCACCAGGTAAAGGTGCTTGTAGCCAAGCCGGACAGCCTGAGTAGTTCAGTCTCCAAAACCCACATTACAGAAGGAGAGAACTGACTCCAGCAAGTTGTCCTCTGACCTCCATGTGTGTGCCATGACAAGCATGTACATGCACATACAAAATAAACAAATGCAACAAAATTAAGGGGCTGGGCCAGGCATGCTGGTACACACCTGAGGCAGGGGAGTCATGAGTTCATGGCTAGCATGAGCTACATAGGAAGACCTTGTCTCAAACACAAAGATCAGGAGACTGGGGTATAAGCTCCATATCAGAGTACTTGCCTAGCACGCATGAGGCGCCAGGTTCTATTCCCAGCACCAAAATAAAAAAGTAAATAGTGAAATATTATGCAGTCATGGTTGAGTCAAACAAAAGCAGAGAAGTAAAAGGTCTAGTATATTCTAGTTATTTCTAGAAAAAATTATCTTTTGAACATAAATATGCATATCATTTAAAAGTTACAAATCAGACCACACTCATTACCTTTTTGAAAGAAAATAACATATCTTTTTGTTTGTTTTTCCAGTCTTTTTTAGACGGGGTCTCCTGTAGTCCCAGCTGGCCTGGAACTCGAAATGTAGACCAGGTTGGCCTCAATCTCACCTGCCTCTGTCTCCTGAGTGCTGGAATTAAAAGCGTGTGCAATCATGCCCAGTGAAAATAATGTTCTTAAGTAAACTGTAGACCAGGGCAGATCACACGACTCAGCATGAAATGCACTTGAGGTGAAAACCTGGCATCCCTGAACCCATGTAAAGATGGAGAGAACCTGACTCCACAACGCTGTCCTGTGAACCCATACCTATGCCTCCCTCAGATCATGTATGAGAGTGCCAGCGCCACACACACAGAGAAATAAATAAAAACAAGCAAACCAATACAAAGATTAGCTATCGAGGGCGTGGTGGCACATGTCTTTAGTCCCAGCACTCCAGAGGCAGACAGATCTCTCTGACTTCAAGGCCAGCCTGGTCTACATAGTGAGTTCTGAGCCAGCTGGGGCTATGGGGATATTTTTTCTGTATCAACACATACAGACAGCTTTTGTATTTGTGTTCTATTTTATGAATAACTACCTTTCTTCTAAGAATAAATGCCCAAATACATTGAAATTGCATTGTTTCAAATATATCTTTGTTTAGGTTGAAATCCAAATGCAGCTGGTGAATTAGCTCAGCAGGTACTACCAAGCCTGATGACCTGAGTTCAATCCCCAGAAGCCGTATGGTGTAGGGAACCAACTCCTGCAAGTTGTCTTCTGATTTTCACATACACGAAATAAATGTCATAAAAAATAAATCATGAGACCCTGTACTTTTTCTGCCCAGGATTCCCGCTCCTAAAGCAGGTTACCAGTCAGCAACCTCTTTCTCTTTTCTAAGCATGCTTTCCTAATACTTGGGACTTCCCCTACATTTTGGGTTTTCTTACTCTTTCTCTAAAGCTCCCCTCTCCACCATGTAGCTGTTCCTTTGCCTTGTGCCTGACCCCCCAGGCTCACTTAAATAGCATGGCTTCTTCTCCTCTCCATTCTCCTCCTCCAGGCAGCTGCTGAGATTTACAACTTGCCTCCCTGGGGTTTTTCTTTTAAACAATAATAAAATTGTCCTTAAGTTTTAAAATAAAGAAAATGACAAAGCTTCACAAGCTAAAACAATAAAAAAATACAGACTACCCACCCTTGAGTTTATTTAGAATTTTATGATTCTAGGATATAGAATGCTGTTTTATAAGAACTCTTTTTTGAAATACATTCAATAATAAGCTAAACATGGTATTGTACATGTGTAATCCCAGGACTTGGGAAGCAGAAGGATCAGCAGTTCAAGCCCAGCCTTGGCTACAGAAAGTTTTTAAACTTTTTTATTTTTTTATTTTATGTGTATGCGTGTATTGCCTGCATGTAGGTAAGTGCGCCTGTGTCGTGCAATGTCCGTGGATGTCAGAAAGAGGCTGCCGGATCCCCTGGGACTAGAGTTATGGACAGTTGTTAGCTGTCATGTGAATGCTGGGATTCGAACCTGGGTCTTCTGCAAGAACAACCAATGTTCTTAACTGCTGAGCCATCTCTCCAGCCCCATACAGAGAGTTTTTAAAGCCAGGTATAAATTCAAAAATATTTAACTATAATAATGTAGCCTTTAAATTTTCATGGTTAATAAAACTAAGGATACATGAAAAGCTTTATGGAAACCTACTACTTTGCAAACTAATTAAAGAACATAATTTTTTAAAAGCTTAAGCTGGGTATGATAGCACGTGCCTTTAATCCCAGCATTTGGGAGATAGAGGTAGGTGGATCTCAATTTGAAGCTAGCCTGGTCTACATAGTAAGTTTCAGGCCAGCTAGTGTTTTTCCTGAAAAAAGCAGGGGGGGGGTGGTGCAGCAGTGCAGGAGAGATGGCTCAGTGGTTACAGCATTGGCTGCTTTTGTAGAGGACCAAATTTTGGTTCCCAGCACCCACCTGGTGGCTAACACCTGTTTGTACCTCCAGTTTCAAGGGAATTCAATGCCCTCTTCTGATCTCCATGGGCATTGCACGCACATGGTAGGTATACTTACATACCTGTATGCAAAATACTCACATACATAAAATTTTAAAACAACAACCAAAAAACTGAGTTTGAACAGAGGTATCTTCCATGCTTGAATAATGCTGTTCACAGAAGCTATTGGTTATTAAAAATCCTAGTACCAGGTGCTGGATCTCCCAGACCCTGGGTAACCTGTTGGTCAAACGGACCCCAGAGACCTCCAAACAATGTAGGCTAATGGCATTACTTTTGGTTGCTCATAAGAACCAGACAGTAAGGCCCTATTGTGGGAAGACACCACACACTTTGGTTGTAGGTCACAGGTACACCAAATAGGAGCTGAGCTGGAAGCTCCATCTCTGCTGGTCAGCTTTCATTGTCATGCTGAAAAGTGCTAAACAGGCTGCTGGAGGAATAGAAATCAGTGGTCTTAAACCAGTGGTGGACCCTGCATGATACAATACTGACTTGCCAGGCAAGATATGCCTGCTGGTGCAATAGTGGCATGAATGTTATCAGGGTAATCAACCACTTTGGATTTGAGTTCCACTCCACAGGAAGGGATTCATGCCTGGTTTTGTCAAACTGGTCAAAAGGCCATGGCTCAGAGGTCCCAGGAGGGAACCTAGTACTGTTGTCTTGCTAAATGGACATGTCAAACTGCCTTCTCAATGTTTATGTTTATCCCATAGACTAATGCTGCTCTTCACCTTGGTCAGACAGCTTCTTTCTGCACGGGCTAGCAATTAACGCAGAGACATAACTGATCAAAGTGCTGAGAATAAGTGACTGTTGAATGCATAGCTCTAAATTAACATCTATATCATCCTCTCCTTCCTGCCTCACTCCAAGACCTATGGAAACTTAGTGGAAGAGGGAGAGGAAATAATATAAGAGCCAGAAGGATGGAGTGCTGTGAAACTGTCTTCTGAATATGACATGGCACCCATGAGCTCACAGAGCTGTGGTTACCTGCACAAGGCCTACACAAAATCAAGAGTGTCTACATTCCATCATGGTTGGAAAGGGGCATTTAAGGCTCCATCTGTAGCTGAGGAATTATTGACAATTAATAGCTGCTGTGGGGGAATCGTTTTTCTTCAGGGGGATAAGGATTAGTAAATTGTCCGTTATCCAGGAATAACCGCACATTCCTGGAGTTCTTCAAATTATCACAATTTTTTTTTTCTTTTGACAGAGTCTCAGCATGTATGCCCAAGGCTAGCTTTAAACTTTCTACCTCTACCTCAACCTCCAGAGTACTGGAATTCTAAGCAATCATCACCATCCTTAGCTACAAGACAATATTTGCAAGACAATATTTACAAACTCCATTTGGCTGGCACAGCATGCTTGTAATCCCAGCACTCAGGACATTGAGGCAGGACTACAAGTTATTGAAGATAACTTGGTCCACATAGTGGGTTCCAGGGTCTCCTTGTAGTCCAGCTGGTCTGGAACTCACTATGTAGACCAGGCTGGCCTTGAACTCAGACATCTGCCTGCCTCTGCCTCCCAAGTGCTGGGACTATAGGCATGTGCCACCATGCCCAGCACAACATCTCTTTGAAAAAGGTCTGACCTTTTAACTTATATAAGGTGTGACACAACATACCTTTTCCTCCCTTTTGCTGGAAAAGGGACGGTTGTATGAACTGGTTTTCAGGTATGCTCTGCAGGGGTTGATGAATATTTTCTTCCAAGTACGTGTCTGCAGTACTGTTCTACATACACAAAATGACAGCAGGATGTTAAGTGTGAACTTGCCCTGTAGCACCCCCAGTTGGCAGCTGAAGTCAATGCAAGTGTGAAGTGTGTTAAACACCTCCTGGATTCTCAAAGGTGCTGTACCCACTGCAGCTAGATAGCACTCAGGCCCAAATAACATCAACCATATATAGAAGACCAAGGGATGGAGGGTTACTTTCAACTCCCTTCCCTATGAGAGGGGGAATTGTTCCTCTTTCCTAAGAATGCCCAGTAAGACAGATCCAAATCAGTAGAGTCAGGGACACTTGTAGCCCCAGTACTCAGCAGGCTGAGGCTAGAGGATTTCTGCAAGAGGCTGAGGCAGGAGGATAGCTTGAAATTCAAAGACAACCTGGGCTACATAGCATGTTCCAAGCCAGCCTGGACTGTAGACTGAGATCAAAAGATTGAGTTGTCAGCAAAGGAGGAAGATTGGTTTTCATTCCTGGATTGGATCTGCCTGGGCAGGATAAAGATGACACTGCAGCCAAGAGACAGGAGGAAGTAGTCCGTGAGCCTACCATTGTATAGTAAAGATGTGTGTATCCATTGGTTAGACACAGTCCAAGGTCCTGAGCCCTCTCAGCATCCCCATACAAGAGGATGCTGTCAAGCCATGGGTTCCAAACTACAAACTGTGCTCTACTTGCTAGGGAGTTAAGATTCAGGTAAATCTCTGTGAGTTCAAGGCCAGCCTGGTCTACACAGTAAGTTGCAGGTCAGCCAGGGCTACATAGTAAGACCCCATCCCCCGAAACCAAACCAAAGCAAACAACAACAAAATAGCCCAAGAGTGAAAATCCACGTCCTTGAATATAGGAGGATAAATCACTTCAGTAAAAATCTCATGCCCTTGAACACAGCTGGAAGATAAGTCATTCCCTCCCAAACCAGTCAGCTACTGTTCATCCCATAATATAACAATGTCTGTCTCAGGGCTGGACAGATTGCTCAGTGGTTAAGAACACTGGTTGTTCTTGCAGAAGACCTGGGTTTGAATCCCAGCACCCACATGGCAGCTAGCAACTGTCCATAACTCCACTCCCAGGTGATCCGACAGCCTCTTCTGACCTCCATGGGCATTGACACGGGTGCACTTACCTACAAGCAGGCAATACACGCATACACATAAAATAAAAATTTTTAAAAAACCAACAATGCCTGTAATGGGAATGACGACTTGGAAGTCTCACCTATGGGACTTTGTCTACCAGGGGCTCTGGATGACTGGGTTTTGTTTGTGTGGTTTGTTGCTGTTTTCAGAGCTTCCCAATGGGTTTCTGCCAGAGGTTGTGTCTGATCTGATGATGATCTGTTATCTGTTGCATGGTCTTTTATTCTTACTCCTGCTTGCTCCATACTTAGTAAACTCACTCATTTGAAATAAAAAACCGTGGCTATTGTGGATCATTCTCCACACAGAGCAGCTGGTCTTTTGCTAAAGATACTCACTATTCTCCAGTTATAGATGGGGTCCTCTATAGAAAACATGCCACAGCAGTTGGAATGGCCTCTGATGTGAGAACGCTGGTTAAAGAAAGCCAGGCAATTTTTGTATTCTAATTTAAAAACAGAAAGACATTTGATAAGTCAAAGTTTACATGTATACACACACATATATTTACATACACGTGTACAAAAGCAGCCCAAACTGGCACATAATATACCGACTGCTGCCTCTTCTCAGCCAGGCGTGGTGGTGAACTCTTTCAACCCTAGCACTCTGGAGGCAGAGGCAGACAAATCTCAATGAGCTCTAGGGTGACAGGAAGACCCTGTCTCAAAGGGAAAAAAAAAGCGTCTCATCTAGAGCCTGTAGGGTAACCAGTGAGGAAAGATAAAAAAAAAAAATATGTATCCTCGCCAGGTATGGTAGCGCACACCTTTAGTCCCAGCACTTGGAAGGCAGAGGCAGGCAGATCTCTGTGAGTTTGAGGCCAGCCTGGTCTACACAGCCAGTTTCTGGCCAGCTGGGGCTACAGGGAGACCCTGTCTCAAAAAGATGGCTCAATGCGAGTAAAGCACTTGCCATGCAAGAATGAAGATCTGAGTTCAGGTCCTCAAAACCCATGTAAAACTCAGTATGGGAACACATATCTGTAAGCCCAACAATCCTGTGGTAAATTGAGAGGCAAAGTCAGAATGCCAGAAGCTCTCAAAGCCAGCTAGCTCGGCACGTGCAGTGGTGATGAGACCCTGTTTCAAACAGGATAGGAGAGTGACAACCAAGGTTGTCCTCCAACCTCCACTTGTACACTGTGGCAAATGTGTACCTACACACGGATGAGAAAGAAAACCTTCTTTCTGAATAGAATGATATGATAAGCAAGCATCAAGGAAACTTTATTATTATTTTATTTTTGGTTTCATTAAGACAGAGTCCTCAAACCCAAGTCTGCCTTAGGAATGTAGAGAATATAGGTGCACACAACATCTCTTAATATTTGGAATCTTGTTATCTGTGTGTGTGTGTTCATATACATATGTATGTGCATAGGTTTGTGTTTGTGTGACTGTATGTGTGTGAAGGTGCCCATGTGTGTGAAAGCCAGGTCAACCTTGGATACTATTTCTCAGGAGCCATCTACCTTGTTTGCAGAGACAGGGTCTCATTGGTCTGGAGCTCAGCAATCAGGGCAGGGACCTGGCCAGATAGCACCAAGAGTTCTTCTCCAGCCTCTGGAGTGTTGGGATTATTCTTACATATGTATATGACCAACCAGCCATGTATGTGCCAACAGGAAAGAGTCAACAACCTATCTTTACCTGGGGAATACTGAAGGTCTCCAGCCGAGTGCTGCCTCAGCACCTCAAAAGCGTCTTCGAATGCTTGACCCAGCTTGTCCTGTTCAAAGCAATTCTGTTGGAACAATGGTGGAACCCAAGAGTTATGAATTTATCAGTGAAACTTAATTTTCCTCACATATAATACTGCTTAGTTAGGAGAATTTCATCTTCAGTACTATGGACACAGCAGAATGAAGTTTTTATTGCAAGACTCTGTTCTTTGAGGCACCATCATGGCCTCTCCCTACAAGATGGTGGTAGTCCTCCCACAGTCATGAGAATCAAGTGTCTTGGGGCTCATCAAATGTGGAAGCCACTCTGCTATAGACTAGTATTAAAAAAGTATGCACCTTCAAGCCTGGCATGGTGGCACATGCCTTTAATCCCAGCACTTGGGAGGCAGAGGCAGGCCGATCTCTGTGAGTTCAAGGCCAGCCTGGTCTACTGGGGCCACAGGGAAGTTTGGGTCAGCTGGGGCCACAGAGAGACCCTGTCTCAAAAAGACCAAAAAAAGAAAAAAGAAAGTACCAAAAGTATTCATCCTGTAGTATAAAATTCTATATAGCATAAAATCAAAATTTTATATTAGTACAAATTATAAGATTTTAGCAAGGAATCACAGCAGGGGGACTAATTTTTTAAAAGTTCAACAAAATGAAAGAATAGAGGGAGAGAAAGAAATACCGTTAATAGAACAGAATCTGTGAATTTACTAAAAGTGGATGGTAGTAAAGATTTCTAGATACCAACTAACCAGCCACATGTGGTGGCACACAGCTTTTTTTTTTTTTTTTTTTTGGTCTTTTTGAGACAGGGTCTCTCTGTAGCCCCAGCTGTCCTGGAAGTCACTATGTAGACCAGGCTGGCCTTGAACTCACAGAGATCCGCCTGCCTCTGCCTTCCCAGTGCTGGGATTAAAGGCGTGCGCCCAGCTCGAAACAAAGCCTTTCATTTTGATCTATTTTTTCTTTTTTTTGGTCTTTTTGAGACAGGGTCTCTCTGTAGCCCCAGCTGTCCTGGAACTCACTATGTAGACCAGGCTGGCCTTGAACTCACAGAGATCTGCCTGCCTCTGCCTCCTTAGTGCGGGGATTAAAGGCATGCGCCACCACGCCCGGCTGGTGTGGGTAGAACTTTGAGAACAAGACCAGCCTGATCTACACAGAGGGGTTCTAGTCCAGGTGAGGCTACAGGGAGACGCTGTCTCAAAACAAACAAACGAACAAACAAAAAACCAACAAACAAGAAAGAAAATCAGAATACCAACTAACCATTCTTCATGAATTAGATGAAGGGTTTTGGGTCGAGGATGAAGTTCAGTGGTGTGGCCTGGCATGCACCAAGCTCTGGGCTCAACAGCAAGTCCTGTGGGTGGGGGGCACCAATTAGATAAACTGACAATTCTGAGAAGGTTTAACATTTATTATTTTGTTTTTCTTGAGGCAGGGTCTCAGTCTGTAGCCCAGGCTGGCCATTCTCCTGCTTCAACCTCTTGAGTGTTGAGATTACAGGCCTGAGTGACCATAACTGGCTTAAAAGTTTAACATTTAAAAAACAAAATTAAGAGCTAGAGAGATGGCTCAGTGGTTAAGAGCACTGGCTGCTCTTGCACAGAACCCGGATTCTATTCCCAACACCCACATGGTAGCTAACAACTGTCTGTCATTCCAGTTCCAGTGGATCTGATGTCTTCTTCTGGTCTCCATAAGCACTGCATGACATGGATGCACTTACATGCATGCAGGCAATACACTCATACACATTAAATAAAAAAATTAAGCACAACTTCTAATTTGACTTGATTCTGAATGAATAGATCTTCTCAGCAAATGCTATTTTTGAAAATGTCATACAAACCCAAATTGCCATCTGAATTAGTTTGTGGGAACAAATTTTCTTTCTACAAATTTTCCTTCAAGCCAGACGTGGTGGCACATGCCTTTAATCCCCACACTTGGGAGGCAGAGGCAAGAGGATCTCTGTGAGTTCAAGGCCACCCTGGTCTACATAGGGAGTTCCAGGCCAGCTGGGGCTACGGGGAGATATCTCAAAAAGAAAGAAAAAAAAAATTCCTACAAACGTTTTTTTCATCATTGCAACCTCTGTGTGTGTGTGTGTGTGTGTGTGTGTGTGTGTGTGAGTGTGTGTATTCATGTGTATGTATGTTGGAATGTGTGTGAACACAGGTGTATGCATATAGAGGCCAGATATTGACATCACGTGTCTTCCTCAATTGCTCTCCCCCTTATATAGAAGAAACAAGGTCTTCTCACTTAAAGCAGAGCTTGCTGACTCAGCTAGTCTACTAAGCCAGCTTGCTCTGGGGATCCCCTGTCTCCCAAGTGCTAGGATTACAAGCAGCCACCCCACCCTGCCCAGCATTGACGTGAGTGACTTCTGGGGATCCAAACTCTGGTCCTTGTGTTTAGGCTGCAAGCACTTTTACCTGCTGAGCCATCCCCCAGCGCAGCTCCTTGCAACTTCTTAAAAGTAAAAACAAGTAGAGTTAGTTGCCAATACTACTTAACTGATGCATCAAAATTTCACAATTTTTACCTTAGCATAGCCCGCTTTTGTAATAATGAACTTTATTTTTAAAACGGCCTTTTTGCCTTCTGAGAATCTAGCAAAGTTCAGGTCTATAATCCCAGCACTTGGAGGGCTGAGGCAGGAGGATAGCTGTGAGTTGGAGGACATGCTTTAGGAAATCCTCAAAAAAAAAAAAAATCGTTTGTATCACCTACTTTCTTATCCTTTTCATCAACTTAGATTTTGTTCTAAAATATCAGTTATCAAGCCAGGTGTGGTGGCACACACCTTAAATCCCAGCACTGGGGACGCAGAGGCAGGCAGATCTCTGTGAGTTCAAGACCAGCCTGGTCTACATAGTGAGTTCCAGACCAGCTTGGGCTACAGGGAGACCCTGTCTCAAAAAGACCAAAAAAAAATTAATTTAAAAAATTAATTAATTAAATATCAGTTATCACAGAACTAATGCCTGAAGTGCACTGTATCAGTATATTCTATAGAACGATACAGCAAACACTTGATAAGACAGAAGTGTATGGGTTAAATATGCATAATTAACAAATCTAGCAGCTCTGTTAACCCAAGTTCTTATCCTGTAAATGCAGGATGCTCTTGGTATTATTTAATATTTAGTATTTAATACTGATGAATAAAGTGAGATCAAGTAATATCACAATACATCATCTCTGTATCATGTCACTTAAAAGAAAATATGAGAAGAAAATCCATAAATCACAGTTTGGGCTATGTTCTTTAATGAATTTGTTTGTTTGTATGGTTTTGTAAGGCAGTATATATTAACCCTAGACTACCTTCAAACTCACTGTAAAGTTCAGACTGGCCTCAAACTCATGTGCATCCTCTGGTCTCAGCTTCCCAAGTACTAAGATTATAGGCATGCGCTAACACAGCTATCTAGTGACTATCAATAGTAGTTTTTGTTTGTTTGTTTGTTTTGGTGTTTTTTTGAGATAAAGTCTCCTAGTTGCCCCAGCCAACCTGGAACTCACTATGTAGAGCAGGCTGGCCTGGATCTCTGTGCATACTGGGATTTCTGAGCCTATAAGCTCAGAAAGTAACCAACTGTGACTAGTAATAATCAGATATTTAGAGATTAGAAATGCATGTGCAAACATCCAATGTCAATTGCATTGAAAAAGAATTTTTCTATATGAAACTGTGTATTTTAATAATGAAATGGAGATCTTTTTAAAGGTTAAAACATCATTTAATTTATGTCTTATAGGGTTTATACTGAGTACAATATTGTATAACTGTAATAATTCAACTGTAAACCTAAAAATTTACAGCCAAATTTGAAAGAGATGCATCCTACCTCAGGAAAACGTTATTGAATATGTCAATTGTGTTGTAATGATATGCTTCTTCTAAGTATGTTGTTATTAAATAAATCATTTTTAAAAATTAAAAAAAAAAGACATGTGCCACCACCCCCAGCAATTATTTTTTTATAAGCCACATTAATGACCTTCGTTAATTATGACTTCATTCATTAGTACTGAAGGTTGTATTTTGAACTAAATATTTAAGGAAACTTGCTGTATACTTGACTAAAATATTCCACAAGTCTCACAACCTAAACTTAGCAAACACAAAGCAAAGAAAATCTTAATGATCACGTCCAGGGCTTAAGATTTCCTGCACGTGAACAGACAGACAATAAGACACTAGGCCAAGAAACATTCAGCCAAAGGAGAAAACTGAACAGCTACTACACAGGTCCTAGAAAAACAAGCTGAACACTTACCAGGAAGACACTTCAACCCTCACAAAGCTGTCTCCCTCCTACTGCTTCCTTGACACCACTATCAAGAGCACACTGGCAGAGTTGCATTAAATAGCTATTTTAAGGAAGTGCTACAAAGGGGATTTTTTTTAAAAGATACAGTGCTTCATTATTCTATTTCATGATGTGACTAGAAAGACACCAGGGGCTATTATTTTGAAGAGGCATGTAATAGTTTGCATTCTCTGGGCCAAAAGCATTAGAACCAAACCCATGAACCAGCCCCTGTTCCACACTCGCCCAGCTCTGCACCCCCACTCAGCTTTTCTGAGCTGCTTAGGCCCTCCAGAAATATCTGTCGATCTCTTGTCTAGCGTTATTTATTTATTTATTTATTTATTTATTTTTGGTGTTTTTGAGACAGGGTCTCCCTGTAGCCCCAGTCGTCCTGGAGCTCACTATGTAGACCAGGCTGGCCTTGAACTCACAAAGATCCGCCTGCCTCTGCCTCCCAAGTGCTGGGATTAAAGGCGTGCACCACCACACCCACCTTCTTAAAAATCTTTTTCTTTTATTCATCTTCTCTCCCAATTATGGACTCCATACTCTCTTCTCTGGACTATGGACAGCCTGTGTTCTGGCCTCCAAATCGACTTCCTTGAGCTAAGCCACTTTAAGCACACTGACATTATCCACTGCCACCCTACTCAGCAATCTTAAGGCTTGAAATCAAGGCTTTTCAAGAGCAGTCTTAACCTTAGTTCCCATGATTTTTCAGTAGGGAGTAATGGAGGGATGATGAGATCTGTCAGCAGGTAAAGGCCTGGTCATCTCTAAGCCTGATGACCAGAGTTGTATCCAGAACCCATATGGTAGGCGAGAACTGACTCCCTCCAGAGGTAATAACAGTTGGTTATGGCAGAGGCAAGAGGATCCCTGTGAGTTTGCAGACAGCCTGGACTACATTGTAAGACCCTATTTCAAGAAGATAAGGAGGAGGCACACCTTCAATCCCAGCATTCGGGAGGCAGAGGCAGGCAAATCTCTGTAAGATCAAGACCAGCCTGGTCTACAAAGTGAGTTCCAGGCCAACTGGAGCTACAGGAAGACCCTACCTCAACAACAAAGAGATCAGTGACTTCATATTCCAAGATAGCAGCTAGAGTCCAGCCAGCTGATCAAAGCCTTTTTATAAATATCACACAATACTTATTTTATGCCACCATGAGCCAAAATAGACAGCCACCCCTAGCTGTCTAAGCAAAGCTAAGATCTAGTGCTTTGGGGGACAGAATAAACCACGATTCTGTTCCTGAAGGGGAAATGGAAGCTATAATGAAGAACTAGTAATCTCTAGTTCAACAGTGAAATAAGCAATCACTAATTTCAAAAACAAGAATGAATTACAACTTCAAGCCAGTGGGCTAGAGAGAAGACTCAGAAGAGGCCAACACTGGCTGCTCTCACAGAGGACATGGGCTCAGTTTCCGGCACCCATACAGTTCCAGTGAATCTAATGCTCTCTTCTGGCCTCTGTGGGCATTGCATGGATGTGGTGTACCCACTACATGCACATAAAACACTCATACATATAAAACAGAAATAATAAAAAAAATTAAAACAACAGTAACAACAAAAAGATGAGGAGGAGGAGCTCGAACAAGAACCAGCAAGATCCTGTATTGGGATCTGCTAAGAATTCCTACGTGGTTAGGCTCTCTGGGCGGCAATTTAGTGGAAATGTCTTGACCGTTACTGTCACTTGTTGAGCAGGTTCAGATCTCTGCTTGGCCAGGTTACTTAAAGAGGCTTTTGGTGGCTCTGATGGATGTTTGGGGTGCTCCCTCCACCTCCACCTCCTTCTCAGTGCCCCTCCCCAACTCATCCGCTCACATTACCTGCCATCCAAGTCCAACGCAGCATCTGCTGGTACACTGTGGAGCTAGCCTTTTCCTCTGAAAGCGTTGACATCCTCCTTACCGAACCAGCGCCAAAACCATTTTCATAGCCATCAGATTTGGCCAGGGGGAGAATTGCCAGAGATTTTAAAGTAAATCTTGTGGGTGGAGTGATCGGGAGGGCGTCTGTTTTTGTGTTTTGCATTGCTAGAACTTGAGCTCACCTTCAGTACGGGACTATTGTTGTAGGTTGATTACTTTTGTGAGCTGCTTTGTCATACAAATATGACACAGTTTCTCTTCTGAAATGTAGATATTATAGAAAGAAATATAAAACCCTAATCACTCCTGTTAGTTTGTTTTTTACTCCATAGGATCTCCACCCTACACCCTACGCCCATTTTTTTTTTTTTCTTTTTGAAAAATTTTTTATAGAGGCCGGGCGTGGTGACTCACACCTTAAATCCCAGGAGGAGCTCTGTGAGTTCGAGGCCAGCCTGGTCTTCACAGCGAGTTCTAGGCTGCTGGGGCTACAGGGGGACCCTGTCTCAGACCAAAAATAAATAAATAAATAAATAAATAAGTCTCAAAAAGACCAATAAATAAATAAAAAATAAATAAATAAATAATTTTTATTGAGCTATTTCACACAACAGTTCCCAGTAAAATCGAGACCCCTTCCTCCATCCATGGCCCCCATTTCCCCTCCAGACCCCATGCACTCTGTCTGCCACACATGCCAAGTTGTCTACATCCATTTTTGAGACACCTGATTTCATCTCTTTTTTATTCATTTGATAAATATTTATTTCAGTGCTCCTTGTCCCTTGTCTAAAAGCAATAGCTCTGAATAAGTTGTAGTAAGAAGAAATTATAAATATATATTAAAATAAGCACACTGAGACTACTGTGCTGCATACAGTGCTAGGGAGGTACCTAGCCAGGAGGTAGTGCCAGTCCTGGCCAGGAACTCCTGGCAACTGATAGCTACTGGGAGAGAGTCAGTTTCCCTTAGTGGTGTGATGCCTGGTCTGGCAGACCAGACTCCAAGGGATAGAGCCACACCCAAGAGCATTTGGGAAACACAGATTAGACTGGATAGGCCTTTTTTAAAAAAGATAGGGTGCAGGGCGTGGTGGTGCACGCCTTTAATCCCAGCACTCCTGAGGCAGAGGCAGGCGCATCTCTGTGAGTTCAAAGCCAGCCTGGTCTACATAGTGAGTTCCAGGACAGCTGGGGCTAAAGGGAGACCCTGTCTGTCAAAAAAAGACAAAAAAAAAGGGGGGGGGATAGGGTAGGGTGTGGTGGTGTACACCTTTGGTCCCAGCACTCTGGAGGCAGAGTTCTAAGCCAGCTGGGGCTAAGGGGAGACTGTCTCAAAAAACAAAAAAGCAAAACAAACAAAACAAAAAAGAAAAGGAAAGAATAAAGGACATGAATTGGGACAGAGGTGGTAGGAGATAAGGGTAGAGATGAGGAAGGGGATCTGAGAATTTGCATGAAATTCTCAAAGAATCCATTTTTTTAAAGCACAATAACCAGTGGGCTTGGGGGCACACACCTGTAATCCCATACTTGGGATACCCAGGAAGGATTTCAAGTCCAAAGGCAGCCTGGACAACATAGTCAGATCTCATCTCAAGAGAGGTTGGGGGGGATCCGAGACAGAGATGGAGAGGGGAGGGAAAGAAAGAGGAGGGAGGGGGCAATGGGAAGGAGAGGAGATGCAAAGAAAGATCCAGGGACCACCAAGACCACTTCTTGGGAGGTAACAATGGAACAATGGATGCGATGGAGATCTGGCTAGAGTTGAAGGAGGCCCAATGTAGCCAGCTCCAGTGGCTGCCTCCTAAGAGTCCACAGAGGCTTGTCACATACTTCAGGCTTAGCAAGTATTTGAAATGAATGCAGGACCAAGAACTTTCTAAAGTAATGTTTCAGTGGAATGTGGAATGTGGTGGTGTAAGCTTGTAATCCCAGCACTGGGGAGGCTGAGGCAGGAGGATTGTTGTAGTAAGCTATACAGTAATACCTTATCTCAAAAAACCAAACAAGAGTTGGAGAGACGGCTTAGCAGTTAAGAACACATTCTGCTCTTACAGAATTTAGTTCAGGCATCCATGTATGGGTGGTTCACAACTACTTGGAGAACCAACTCCAGTGACTCGGATGCCTCTGGCCTCCAGGAACACCTGTACTCACGTGCACATATGTGCACACACACACACACACACACACACACACACACACACAGATAATTAAAAAGTAATAAAAATCTTTAAAACAAAAACCAAACTAATTAAAAATAAAAATAAAGAAATTAGCATTTCCTCAAGTGCTGTTTTTAGAATCTTATTCTACAAGGTGTTAACCAAGGGTTGGAGATGTAGCTCAGTTGTTAGAGCACTTGCCCAGCGTGGGCAAATCCTGGATTTCATCCCCAGCACCACATAAAACCAGGCATGGGGATGAACACCTGTAATTTAAGCACTTGGATGTAGAGGCAGGAGGATCAAAAGTTCAATACTATACTTGACTACAGAGTGAGTTGGAGTCCAACCTGGGCCACACGAGACCCTGTCTCAGGGGAGAGAAAAAAAAAAATGTTAATCGATCCCTAAGAAAGTGCTAAACAGGAGTCAGGGTTGCTACATAAAGTTGCTTTAGTGAGGTCAGTGAGCATGCTGGGTGTGTTTGAACACAACCCTGGATTCTAGCTTAGAAAGGAGAAATGCGCTCTCAGGTGTTCTGTGGAGCTAAGGTGTGGGATGTTCTTGGCAACTTGGAAAGATGATATAATAATCCTCTAGGCATTTTAGAAGTCAAAACTCTTATTCTTCAAGAATATGATGGAAGTTTGGAGTTCTTTCCCTAAGAAAATGTCATTGACACACACTATTTTTATTTTATATTTTGCTCAGGGTCTTGCTATGTTGCCCAGCTGGACTTTAACCCACTGTCTTCCTTCCTCGGGCTCCCCAGTACTAGAAGAGTAGGTGAGAGTACATGCTGGTAGTTGCTATGGATATTGGCTACCACAGTTGACTTCGATTCACAATTTTGGGCAAACCCATGCAGCAGGGCCAAAGGACTGTAGTTACGCAGTTTAACACAACATAAGCTTGCTGTGTTGTCTTCTGGGTTTAAGGACTGACGGCCTCTGGGATACTGCCA